ACAACCTGTTCCATCATTAAACAATTTTTAGGGCATTAAGTCTAGACTTTATGCATGTCCCGAATTAGCTCATATGAGACACTCTTGAACAAGCTAACCTACACAAATAAAATTATATTTTTTAGTAACGCCTTTTTTTTTATTTATTTATATTGTTTAGAGTGTAAAAATTTTTGTATTGTATTTTGAGACAAAATTACGTTTGTGACGTTTTATTAAAAATGCATCGTTTTTTCTGAAAATTCCGGTTCACTTAATTCAATTTCCTCAAGAACCTGTTTCGTCTCCACTGATAACTCATCTGCCACGCTATCTACTTCTTCAGAAATATCTATAATTCCGGATGCTATTGGATCACCTGAATCGATAGAAGGCATTTACCGCATTAATCTATGAAGAATTCGACATTAGGACTTCAAAAAATAATGATAAGATGTGAGAATGCATATTTGTATTTTTTTTAACGTTAAATTTTAAGTAAATGTACATCGAAGATCATCTGGCTAATTTTACATATTTGCAAAATTCAGTTTATTGAGATGTCTTTGCTCAAAGTTTGGCTTAACTTCTATTTTGATAGATGTTTTTTCTTTTTTAAATTTTGAGTGAAGCTATTTTGACAATCATCAGATCAAATTTAGTAATTTTTGTTAATTTGAATTCTAAGGTTCACGAAATTTAACGTTAAATTTTTCTGGAATTAGGGTTAGTACCCTAACCCTAACCCAAATTCAGATAATAATCTCATGACACATACGTTATCCGTGTTCTGTTTTTGTAGTTTCTCTAATAAAAACCAAAAGCTCTACTAGGTGGTCAGGCGAAGTATAATATATAGGGATCTTTCTCCCTATGACCAACGTAGTGTAATGTAGAATGTAAAAAAATGGCGTAGAGCGCATATAGGTCCTTTTTCTGCTTATTCTCTTGCCATTTGTACTGCCATTTAGAGATGAGCGAAATCCATTTATAAAGGGGGGGTGAAGTTATGGAAGTTCGTCGCTTTATAATGATTAAAAAAATCGAACTAACATCTTTTACCGCAACCGTAGTGAGACATATAAAATTGTACTTTAAGTCGTGGTTACCTCAAGTGTATTTTCCAACTGTAGAGCTATTGAAAAAGAGCGTTCTCGAAACAGCAGTAAAGCAATACACTGATGAGCTCAACGATGCTATAACAATGTGTAAGCATCAAAAATTACCGTACAGCGCTGCATACAGTACCCCGGGTATTTTACAAAAAGCCGGTCTAGATTGAATAATACCCCCAAATATCGAGAGACGGAAGGATAACACAAATAATCGTTACTGATCACTATATACTTTGT